TGGACTTGAGGTTCGCTGAGGCCGCGCTCCGGCTCGCCGGGCCCCCCGCGAAGGTGCGAGTGGGGTGCCGCCTTTCTCCGACCGGGTCTGGCTGGGAAGGTGCGCCACACCCGAGTGGACTTTTGGCGTGTACCGAGTTAACCTTTGTTGTGAAATTACTCAGACTTCTTGTGCTGGTGGGTAGGACGCGCCTCACTCTGGTTCGTCCTTTTGCCCGGGGGGCGTTGAACTCCTTCTTGTTGACTTTTAAAGGAGTGTGCGTGTGTGAAGCACTTGTTGGAAAAAATGTGGACAGAATGCCTGACCCTGGCTCGCCAGGAATGGCTTCCCAACAATGCAAGCGGCAGTTGGCTCGAGCCAGGATTGGCAGACACCCTCTTATGTCCTCCTGCGTCTTTGGAACATTTGTATTTATTTATTTTTGGTGTTTGTTTTGAACAGAATTTTCAATTTAGACGAGTGAGTTATGTGAAGTTTCCAACTAAATTAAGGACATTTCGTATTTATGTTGAAGGAAACGCTTACATCATTCTATTGTTGCAACAGGATAACCATTTCCATGAGAGGATATTTTATTTAGCAGTGACTTTTGAAGTGACTGTACAGGTTTATGTTACTTTAGGAAAATGTAAGTTAAATTAATTAGGATGTGTTATTTTGTTTTACAAGACGAAAGAAATTATCCAAACCTCTGCTTAATTATGTACCCTTCTTGACTCTTATTAAGTTAAATAACTTTTATCCGCTTTTTTTTTTAAGGGCCCGCCCATGATGTAAGATATGGGCTGTGTTCCCAAGAGCTCTTCGTGTAATGTAGGGAAGGCATATATACCTCCCCATGCAGTGTAAGGCAGACTGTTAAAAGTGCCATAATAGTACTTGTGCATGGGTCATATCTTCTTTACTACTAAGGATAGAAAAACAGACAAACCCAAAACTCGTGGAAGCATGGAGGAGCCTAATAAGTTCTGTTTGGAGAAGTCCAGGAAGGCTCTGGAAGGCGGTGGCCTTTGAACTGAATGAAACTTGAGTAGGGTTTTTTCAGTGGAGGAAGCATAAAGGGGGATAGGAGTTGGTGGAACTATGACATGACTCTTCTGATTTTCCTTACATTTTTGGCTCTTCTCAGGTCCCCCCCCCCTTTCAGTTCACTCAGACCCAAGATTCTTTCTAACATATCTCAGCCTTTGACACTGTTGAGGTGGCATCACCTTCATTGCCATCAGCGTCTCATTCTTACAGTGAGTTAGAAATCAGGGGTGCCCTCTCCCTCTAAGTTGAGAATCTCTTCTCTGTGCAGTTTCCATATCTTCAAACTTAGGTGCTCAAGTCCAAGTTTCTATTTTCATAGTGGATGTCTCACCTCACCTACATGGTCACCTTACACCAGAGAGCTGAGTGTCCCAGGTGCTTCTCAAACTCAGCATGCCCAAAATGAGACGCCTTTATTTTCTGGAAACCTAAACCATATATGGAGATCAGCAGTAACTGGTAGGGTCCTGGGATTTTTTGAGAAAGTAATGGGCTGAGACATGACAGCCAGATCTGGTTGCTGCGGGTGGTGGTATGTAGTGGTGGTGAAGATCTGGACCAAGGAAACAGGGTCCTCTGCTTGTGTAAAGGTCCTGAGACAGGAATGAACTTAATGTGTTTTGAGACCTAAGACCTGTGGGGAGAAGGCCTCACATGAGATTGCCAGGGAACACCGGGTCATATGTTTGGATCTTATTCTAATATCTATAAGAAGCCATTGTAGGGAGTTTTATGATCTGATATTTTAGTGAGGTGGTGTGGATGAAGGAACTGTATTTTGGGGAAGTGAGACAGGACTTAAATATGGTTTGGTTGTAAGAGGCCCAGGCTTATCTCTGACTTGTTTTCTCAGTAATGACCCCCCCCCCCATGTATTCTGTCCCTTTCATGATGAGCTCTTAGTCACATCTCAGGACTCAAGTTAGGGCTTTCCTTTTTGATAGCAAACCTCTTCTCACCAGGAGGTGTACTTCATTATACTGTACCTTATATTACTGATATCCATGTTTGCCTTTTCTGCTACAGAGTGGGCCTGTGAGCCCCCTGATAACCTTAGCCTTTGACTTGGTACCTGGCCTGGAGGGCAAATTAGATACTGTTGAATGAAGGATGAAAAAGAGTCTTTCCTGTCTTCAGTCTAACTTGTGGGTGGAACTGTGAAGGATGAGGCAATAGTCAGAGTATGGAGAGCCTCAAATTGAAAACCATCTCCATTCCATTCTTCTTTCTTTTCTACTCATATCTAATCAGAGATGAAAGCCTCTCCATCCATGTTCATGTTACATTAATTCCTTTTTTCTGTTTTCTCTATTTCCACTGCAGTTTAGATTATCTTCCCATCTTTGAACAATTGAAACTACTTGTAGTTCTCTGGATAAATTGTTGTTTTTGTTTTCTTTGGTGCCTTTTTCATATTTTTTCCTTTTCCTGGAGCTGTTCTCTTTTTTTTTTTTTTCCTCATTCCTCTGACAAACTCATTTACTCTTTTTTTTTTTTTTTTTTTAAGATTTTATTTATTTATTTGACAGGCAGAGAGATTACAAGTAGGCAGAGAGGCAGGCAGAGAGAGAGAGGAGGAAGCAGGCTCCCCGCCGGGCAGAGAGCCTGGTGCGGGGCTCTATCCCAGGACCCTGGGATCATGAACGGAGCGAAAGGCAGAGGCTTTAACCCACTGTGCCACCCAGGCGCCCCAAACTCATTTACTCTTTAAAACCTACCTTAGATGTCACTGCCTCTGGGTTTTCTCTTAGAACTCAGAGCTTCTTGGGTAGCTTGTACATACTCTGTGGTTGCATCTTTCGTACTGTTTGGTAAATATTTTTATGTCTGTCTTTTTCCCAGCTGGGGGTTCTTGGAAATGGGGCCTGGGCTTTTATTTTTCACAGAACTTTGAAAAAATTAAAGTATAATATACCTGTAGAAGTGTGCTCAAATCATGAGAATACCTGCTTAATGCTGTATTTGAGTGAAGACCATCCACATCCACTCTCTAGACCAAGAAACAGTAAATATCAGTCAGTACTCCAGGAATCCCAGGTCAACACCTGTCCCTCTGCTCCCTTCAGTTTTTAATCTGAGATTTGGGAACATTATGGTTGCTCGTTTGCTCTGTTAGTGTTTGCCACAGTTAGTGGAATGTTTTCCTATCTTCCCCTCCACCTTTCAGTCTTTTACACCTGAGTAGTACTCTTGTTCATTTGAGAAACTTACTGCTCTCTCCTTGCTTAACTGATCAGACGCTTAGGTTTGCATTTAAGTCCAAAGTTCTGGCTCTGAATTCATTTGTTCAACTTCATTTTCTTTCTTTTGTACCCACCCCACCCCAAGATGTACTTAGAGAGAAAACACGTGAAGGGGGGGCATGGGAGGAGCAGAGGGTGAGGGAGAGAATCCTCAAGCAGACTCCCCACTTAGTGCAGAGCCTGATGCTGGGCAGGTCTCACAACCCTGAGATCATGACCTGAGCTGAAACCAAGAGTCGCTCAACTGACTCAGCCACCCAGGCATACCTCAACTTCATTTTCTACTGTAAATTGTTGCTACATGTCCTCTGCACCTGCCAGGCATTCGTACTGGAGTGCCTCATCCTTCTCTTGACATGAATGCTATCCGTTGATGAAGGCTGGTTAACGTGGTTGTTTTTGTTTTTTTGTTTTTTTTTCTGTTGAGACATTTGTCATCATTGCTGAAAGTGATCTTTAATTTACTGGAAATTCTAAAATTTGCCTCTGACTATGACATTCTCACTCCTGATCCTGTTTGTGTGTTTTGGTGGTAAAATACATGTAACAAAATTTACCATTTTAACATTTTCATATAGACTTCAGTGACATTGAGTACATTCATATTTTTGTTTGCTCATCACCACCATCCATATCCAAAACTTTTTTCATTTTCAAAACCTGAAACTCCGTATACATTAAACATTAACTCCCCATTTTGCCTCCCTTCAGCCCCCTGACAACCGCCATTATACTTTCTCTTTGAAGTTGACTACTGTAGGCACCTCATGTAGGTTGAATAATATGGTATTTTGTTCTTTTGTGAATGGTTTATTTTCCTTAGTATAATACCCCAGGGTTCATCTGAGTTGTAGCATGTGTCAGAATTTCCTTCCTTTCTTAGTCAGATACACTAGTATCTGTTCATCTGTTGGTGGACACTTTGGTTGGTTCTACTTTTTGGCTGATAATAATGCTGATATGAAATGGGTGTACAAGTATGTATTTCTGTCCCTGCTTTAAATTCTTTTGGGTGTGTACCCAGAAGCGGTAAGGTAATTCTATGCTTATAGTTTTTAGGAACTGCTGTACTGTCTTCTACAGTAGTTATACCATTTTGTAAGTTTACTAGCAGTGTATGAGGGTTCCAGTTTCTCCATATCCTCACCAACAGTTGTTACTTTCTTTTTCTTTCTTTTTTTTTTTTAAACTAGACATCCTAGTGGAAGTAAGGTGATACTTTGTGGTTTTGCTTTGCCCTTCTCTGATTAGTGATGTTGAGCATCTTTTCTTGTGATTATTGGCCATTTGTATATTTTCTTTGAATAAGTCTCTGTTCAAGTCCTGTGGCAATTTTAATTGAGTTGTTCGCTTTTTTGTTGTTCAGTTTTAGATGTTCTTTGTATGTTTTGGATTTTTAATTTTTTTTCCCCTTTTATTATTGTAGGATTTTATTTATTCATTGGGAACAGAGAGATACAGAGTGAGAGAGAGCATGAGCAGGGGGAGAGGTATAGGGGGAGGGAAAAGCAGAATCCTGCTGAGCTGGGAGGTTCCATCCCAGGGACCCAGAGGTCATGCCTTGAGCCCACAGCAGATGTTTAACTATCTGAGCCACCGGGGCATCTCTTCTGGATTTTAAAAAAAATTCCAGTATAGTTAACGTAAAGTGTTGCAGTTTCAGCTGTACAGTGTAGTTTTATATATTACTTAATGCTCATTATAATAAGTGTACCCATGATCCCATTTATTGATTTCATTCATCCCCCCACCCACCTCCCCTCTGGTAACTTATCAGCTTGTTTTCTATACTTAAAAGTCTGTTTTTCGGCTGTCTCTCTTTTTTTTTTCCTTTGTTTTGTTTCTTAAATTGCACATATGAGTGAAATCATATTTTATTATTTGTCTTTCTCTGACTTATT